CCAGCTGGCCCAGGTCCATGGAGCCCTGAAGAGGCATCCGGCTGCTATGATGTATGCCAACTGTCTAAAAATAAATAAAATCTTAAAAAAAAAAAAAAAGGAAAGAAAAGAAAAAATACTTGCCTGGATTGTCAAGTCTTTCCTACCCCAGTGAATTTATACCTTCAGGTTCTTAAATCCATTTTGCGGGCCTTCCTTCTTTTGGTCAATCTTTAGTCTTCCTTCTAGAAGGAACTAAAATGTCAGGTCTTCTGTAAAGCCTTTCTCCTGTACTTTGTTCCTCTCTCTATTAAAACTTTTATTGTATTTTAGGTTGTGTTTTTTAAGATTTATTTGAGAGAGAGAGAGAGAAAGAGCATGTGGGGGGCGGGGGGAGGCAGAGGGAGAGAATCTCAAGCAGATTCCCCAGTGAATGCAGAGCCCGACGTGGAGCTTGATCCCATGACCCATGAGATCATGACCTGAGCAGAAATTAAAGTCGGACGCTTAACCGACTGAGCCACCCAGGTGCCCCTGTATTATAATTTGTTTTAATCTCGTATGGCTGCCGTGACAAATTACCACAAACCAAGCTTAAAAATAACAGAAATTTATTCTTTCATGGTTCCGGAGGCTAGAATCCTGAAATCGGTATCACTGGGCTACAGCCAAGGTGTTAGTAGGCCCACGCTCCCTCTGGAGGCTCAAAGGGAAAAGCTGTCCTTTGCTTCTTCTAGCTTCTGGTGGCTGTGTGCCGTCCTGGGACTGTGGCCACATCGCTGCCATCTTTGCCTCCATGATAACGCTTCTGCTTCCTCTTGTCTGTGTCAAATCTCCTCTGCCTCACTCTTGTGAGGTCACCGTGATTGCAGTGAGGGTCCCCCTGGATAATCCAGCACGATCCTGTCAAGATTCTCAATTTAAAGGTTCCCTTACGTAGGCTATAAGGGCCTGGCAGATGTGTTAAATTGATATAATATCTTTGGAGCTACTACAATAACGATTCCAACGTCCGTGTTCTCACCTTTGTATGACCAGGGTCTATCAGAGTGTAAGCACATAATATGTAATCAACAAATGAAATACATGTATAAGTACAGCGGTTTAAGGTCAATGTCTGTTGTCCGTGTTCATTGGTATTCCTTCTTTGCTCACGCTTTATTTCCCCCCAGGCTGGAGCTATTTCTTTCATGTGCTAATCTGTGGCTGGAGCGATCTTTTACTCCTGAACTGGATCAACTTCTAGGTTACAGAAATTAAGCGAAGGGGGCCTTCATCCTTGTATCATTTCCCTCTGAGACTCAGGGAAGCAAAGTAACCAGAAAACTCCGTTCAAACCCCGTTCCTTCCCCGCTAAGGGGTGGAAGGGAGGCTAAGGGGTGAAGAGGTCCTGGCGCTGGCAGGTGACGTTCACGGAATTTGAGAATGCAGAGCCGCAGACTGACAAGCATGAGCTGCATTAAGATTGCTGTCATCAGTCTGCCTGCCTGGTTTGTTGCCATTGCTTGGGCGTTTATTTTAAACACAGTTTTCTTGGTAATTTAAGCTCCTAAATTCATGGCTATTGCTTAACTGACCATTTCCCTATCTCGAGTCACTGGAGTTCAGCACAGGCATTTTTCTGAAATGAGGCTGTTTCTTTTCCAGGGTTCTTCAATCACAGCCACCTTCACCCACAAGAATAAGGCTGTTCTTGCCACCCCTCACCTCGAGAGACTGCTCGCTAGCCAGGCTATTGTTTCTCTCAGCCATTGGAAATCTTTCGGGGTGGGGGGCGGGGATCACTTGCAATACAAGAAGTAAACAAGTAGGTTACTTCACACAATTGATCCTTAAAACAGGGAACTGTTTACTGTATTATAATTGTTTATTTACTTTTATGCCAGTCTTTTCATCTTTGTGCTGGTTAGAATGCCACATAATCAGAATGTTGAAAAAAAAAAAACTGTTGAGCCCAAAAAGGTATCCAAGATTTTGCCTAGGTACGCATGTATTCAGCAACTTCTAAGGTTTAAAAAAAAAATTCTTTCATTTACATATAACACCCACCTGTAATAAAACATAATTGTCAGAATTGATTTAAATCATGTGACTGGCCTAAAGCTGATTTAACATAGTAAGTAGTCTGGAAACTGCCAGAGCTTTTATTGATCAGAGTAGATTCCGGTAGCCTGGCCAATAAGACCAATTTACCTCCTAAAATGATCTCAAACAACACTCTCCCCCTAGCTCTGCTCCAGTCACTCTGACTTTCCTATAGGTCACATTTCCTCCTACCAATGGAATTTTGCATATGCTGTTCACTCTGCTTGAATGTCTGTTCCTCCCCCTCTCCTCTTGATTAAGTTCTATTCATCCTTTGGATTGTAGGTCAAGCACTACTCTCTCTGAAAAGCTTTTCTGGATTAGGTCAAATCCCCCAAACACTGGCTTAGCGCTTAAGACCACTGACTGTATTTGTTTATCTGATTAATGTCTTCTTCTTCCACCAGACTCTACAAAGCTCTGTGAGGCTACGGATTAAGTCAGTTTCTGTTATCGTTACGTCACCAGCCCTTCTCACTGTTGCTGGAACACAGTAAGCATGTAATAAATATTTAAATGATGAATGAATATATTGTAGGATCTCATGCTAGCTCTGCCACTGGGTTATCAGGCAAGCTAACTTCACAGGGCCTCACCTTCCTCATTAGTGAGAAGATGCCTCTTTCATTCCCCCAATTCTAGGATATTTATGGTTCCTATCTTGAGCCTACAAGATCGATCAGGCTAGCGCTAGAAAGCCAACACACTGTTACCTGCCTGCCATATGCCATATACCAAGCAAGAAACTGGAATTACCCTCAGCATCTTTGCCCCTTTCCTTAATGCCACTGCCTTGATTCTGGCTCTCATCGCCTTTCATTTAAAATACTGCAGATTTGGGGCACCTGGGTGGCTCAGTTGGTTAAGCAGCTGCCTTCAGCTCAGGTCATGATCCCAGGGTCCTGGGATGGAGCCCCACATCGTCGGGTTCCCTGCTCAGCAGGGAGCCTGCTTCTCCCTCTCCCTCTGCCTGCCTCTCTGCCTACTTGTGCTGTCAAATAAATAAAATCTTAAAAAAATAATAATAAAATACTGCAGATGCTCCCTGAAGTGGTGGACCTGTGTTCAGTCCTCTCCTCTCATAGTTTATCTGCAAACCTGCCAGTGGAACTCAGTCTAAACGCGGGACTGATCATGGCACTCCTCTGCTTACAGATTTTTCAGTGGTTCCCATACCACATCTGCGACACTGCTCACCTCTCGAGAAGCTATCCTTCCCCTGTTCCTGTCTCACCTCCTGCCTTCTCCTCGAGAACTTGTGCTCCACTCAGAACCACTCACAGGGCCCCAATACACAAAACTCGGTTCTTTCAAGTCCCTCCGTCTTTGTGCGCAGTTCTCTCTGCCCAGGAAACTGTTCTGTGCTCCTTTACTAGTCAAGTTTCACCCATCCTTTTAGGCTCGAGTGTTCCTTGAATGTGGCAAAGGCTCTGACCAAAGCTCCATTCCTCAGACTCAGTTTGTCACTCATTGCCTGTATTCTCACAATACTTTGCACAAGCCACCATAACAACACTTCTCAGTGTGCTGTATTTATATGCAGAGGGACATTTGGGTTAAGAGCATGGGTCTCCCATTCAGACTGACTTGAGTTTGAAACCAAGTTCTGCAACTTACTGTGTGGCCTTGGAAGTGATTCTGAGTCTTAAGTTTCCTGTTTTGGAAAAGAGGGACTTAGCGCCTAACTCACTGGGCTGTTGTGATAACAGAATAAATGAGACAATGTGTTTAATGTGCTTTGCACAATTGGCCCATTATACTAACAGCAATTATCACTGGCTTGTGAATGTGTCAAATGCAAAGACTCAGGCCTACATTTTGTCCATCTTTCTATCCCAGTGACTGGCACATAGTGGTGACTCAGTGGATGCTTCTTCAAATGCATAAATGAAATAGCATTTAAGATGTATTCTTCCTTACAGGAATAAGCTACAGGCTTATTCGTTTTAGGAATTTTACTGAGGTGTCAAAAATTCTACTGATTTTAAGACATACTCCAAATCGTATTCGTCTTTCCCTTTGCTAAACTAGTCCTGAACTTACTCGTGTAACATAATTTGAGATCAAAGTTGAGTTTTTAGTATGTTTTCTGCTAAATTCTCCCTTCACTCATTTAAGAGTTTTTACTACAGGGCGCCTGGGTGGCTCAGTTGGTTAAGCGACTGCCTTCGGCTCAGGTCATGATCCTGGAGTCCTGGGATCGAGTCCCGCATCGGGCTCCCTGCTCGGCGGGGGGTCTGCTTCATCCTCTGACCCTATCCCCTCTCATGTGTTCTCTCTCTCTCATTCTCTCTCTCTCAAATAAATAAATAAAATCTTAAAAAAAAAAAGTTTTTACTACATGCACATCAATTTCATTCTTACTCAATCCTTCGTGGAACCCAGATTACATCCTCCTTTCTCATATGAGTAATACCAACAGCATGCATGTGTATAGGACTTATGTGCTAAGTACTGTTCTATGAGCTATACAGGTTTCAAATCCTCTGTGTGATTAACCAAATGGACTTTTCTAGGATGATGGTGAGTGGTCCATGTGATTAAATTCACTGCAAATTCTAGCCTAGCGTTCTGGCCAGAGCATAGCATTTGGACCCCTAGAAGAGTCTAAGTTCTTTGAAGGCAAGCTTATTTCCTGCTTTCTCTGCAAAGAGTAAGTCTCTTGAAAGCAGGGACTCAGTGAGCCCGGCTGACGGGACTTTTCCTCTCCTGTCCGTGTAATTAACTTCCACTGGAGAGGGAAACGTTCACACCAAGTACTCCAGAGACTCCCTGGAAGGTTTAAAGCCTCACGAGGTTTAAAAGCCTTTAACCTTAGGAAAGCGCCCTTTATCCCTCGGCACCTCACACTCTTGGGGCTGCGGTTTCTCTTCGGTGTTCCGGATGACCCGTTCTAGGGTCTCCGACAGGGACAAGATACAGGAGGTTGAGAAACATCTTTGTCCCTTTCGATGTGCCAAAGGTGGGTCACCGTGGGGGCCAGGCGGCCTATCCGGGGAGGCCTTGGGTCCTGGCCACCCGCGGCGACCCCACCCACCCACGGGAGTGGGGACAGCGTCCGCTCTTCCCGCGGAAACGCCGCCGAGGCGCAGACGCCTCGCGCCCGGCCGCCAGGAGCCTCCGTGGCTGCAGCGCCCGTCGCCGCCACACCGGAAGCACCCCGAGCGCGTGTCGGGCGGGCCGCCGAGGGTCCTACGGGCGGGG